GTGAGCACCGTGTTTTTCAAGAAAAATATGAAATCGCTTATTTCTGTTGTGAAATAGAAGCTAAAATTACATGTTTGATTTGTGGACAAAATATAAGTGTTCCACTTTAGGTAATTATATTGAAATTATTCCTAAATAATAAATAGAATTAAATTTCCTTGTATCAAAATCTAATGTATATTTCTATTTTGAAGTGCGGCCCTCGACTATTATTTATAGGGCTGAGGTGGCCCTCTGTAAAAGCTGAGTTTGACATGCCTGGCCTAGAGGAACTCGGAGCCAAGAATCAGTGTGCTAGCGAGAGTCAGCACCAATTTAACCAGGATGACTAGGAGTTACTGCAAATTATGTTCTGTCAATGCGAATGATTTATAATCATCTTACAACTTTGAAGCGCATGATTTTTCTCGAAATAGGATGGAGTGGTTTGCATTGGATTCGTCTAGCTCAGGATAGGGACAAGTGTAGGGTTCTTGTGAACACGGTAATGAACCTTCGGGTTCCATAAAATGTTGGGGAGAATTCTTGAGTGGCCGAGCGACTGGCGGCTTCTCAAGGACTCACATCCATGGACTCAGTTACTTTAGAGTTGGATAGATTCTATTCACGTAAGACATTTAAGAGGTCAGCCTGGATAGCTCAGTCGATATAGCAACGGGCTACGGGCTGGGTTTTTCTCTACTCTACAGCGTCAAGACCGATTCTGCGGCCCACCCAGCCTCCTATACAATGGATACCGGGGAGGTAAAGCGGCCAGGGCGTGAAGCTGACAATTTACTTCCATCCAGTGCAGAGGTTAAGAAAACTGCATTTTTCCCTCCACTCCGCGATACGCCGTCATGGAATGGTGTTTAATTAATTAAGCACAGGGACAACTTTCTTTTTTCCTTGGCTCTACAGCCCCAGTGGGCCTAGGCCTACCTCCGTGAACTTCTCCGTTCACTTCGGTTTTTCTCGATCTTACACATTCGGTAGGACTCCTTGGGCGCGTGATCAGCTCGTCGCAAGGCCTCTACCTGTACACAAACACAGAAAAACGCACACATACCAACTAAACATCCTGAGTGGGATTCGAACCCACGATCCTGGTTTCCAAGCGAGCGAAGACAGTACAAGCCTTAGACCGCTCGGCTACCGTGACAACTTTACCTTCATGATATTCAAGTTCGGTGATGGCTCCCTCCACAGGGCCCGTAAACACTAAACTGCGATTTTCTCGAAAGCGGTGACAGCGATGTTGAATCAATTCCATTGGTTTGTGGAAACATCTGTTTGTATCTGCAGCGGTTCTGGCGCGTCGAGTGAATGCGAGAAAATGTGTGCAACATGGCGTCGCCGGTTTCTGCTTGTGCTCACTTGGCACAATGTGTATATAGTAAATGAGGACAAAAATTCATTTCTCTTCTTCTTCTTTCTTTTGGGCTGGCGCTGTGTTGCGCAGATCCGCCTCCATGTATTTTTGGAGTTATGAATCATCTGATTTAATCCCCTGTTTTTGGGCTCTGAAGAATTTCTTATGTTGACAAACCCTGTTTTCACAGGTTTATAATATTAATGGCTCTTGGCAGCGGCCCCTTGGCTCCATCTAATGATTTCGAGTGACGTAACGAGTTTCAAGCTTTCGCAACCCGCAACGTGAGTCAATCGGCAGATATTTATGTTTTCCTCATTACAGGACTATATGATAATAAATTCTGAGTGGATAATTCTGAAAGTTGTTGAGTAACGAAGTCTAAATTAAACGTAAAATAAGCGTTAACTATGTCTCAACACTGTGTGGGCAGGGCTCAGTCGGTATAGAGACCAGCTACGGGGCTGGACGGCTTCCTGGCTATTTTCAGAGCAAGGAAGTTAGTTTTTAATGTTTTCTTGGGTCCGTACTTCAATATGCATTTCTCTTTGATGTGGTTATTTAACGACGCTGTAAGTATCGATGATATGGTGATTAGTGAATACGGAGAAGTTGGTGGAATGAGAAATGGTAGGGTAAACCGAAGTACCCGCAGAAAATCTACCCAATTGGTACTAAAAATACCATATACCTGACCTGGGATCGAACCCGGGCAGCCGCGGTTCAAAGATGGAGGCTCTGTGTTGGATGATTGGATGACTCATGCATGATGAACTGGAAAGAACTCGGAAGGAAGTGGTTGTGGCTTGTAGAATGTACTGTTTCCTGAATAATCGTGAATAAATTGAACAAAAGCGTTTTTCTGTGTTTGTCTACAGGTAGAGGCCTTGCGAGGAGCTGATCACCCGCCCAAGGAGTACTACCGAATGTATAAGATCTAGAAAAACCGAAGTGAACGGAAAAGTTCATGGAGGTAGGCCTAGGCCCACTGGGGCTGTAGTGCCAAGGAAAAAAAAAAGGGAACAAAAAAGTAGGAAAAGCTGGGGAAGTCAGTCAAGTGTTCCGACCGAGGTTCAAACCAGATATCTCCCTTTCTCAACTCGTTCAGTTCCAGGAAACACCACAGGGACAGCATATTTCCGTCTGAAACTTTTCGTATCCAACTACCAGATTACACGGTGTCACAGGCCGGAAGGCCATGCTGAAGAACTCAAATGTACGGCCTTTTTGCGCCGAAAGCTTCCAGTTGCGACTTGCACAATTGAAGTCATACTAAATTAACGGATTAGCGTCAACATCAGATTCGAGTTGATCTGGCCAGCAACAACAGGGTCACAAGTTGTTTTATCAGTTCCTGCGGTTTATTCTGGATAATGTAAAGATGGTGGGGCCAGAGTTCTAATGAATGACTTTCAGCATTTAAATGTACGCGACTTCGCTGTACTTGTTCTTTGGTTATTGCATGACGTTGTTTCAAGTAATGAGATTAAAAAGCCTCAAGTGAGTTACGATAAAATTACTGAAAATGAATAACAGAAATGAAATTTGTGAGTTACAGTTGCCGTTTTTAACCCTTTCTATGCCAAGAGATTAGTCTCCCGGGAACATTAACCACTTCAGATTTTAACACTGTCAGGGAAGGAAATTAATGTGGATTTTATCTGATAATTCAAATTGTTTGGTGTGCTGCACCAATATAGACCATGTCTCAGTTACTACGCATGTCATACTCCTATACAAACTAGAGCAAGCATCTGTCCTAAATAAAACCGAGCAAAGAAAAAGGTAAGGTTAATTGTCCCTGTGCTTAACTAATTACGTGGTCGCGCCATAGCTCAAGCGATTAGTCGCTGCCTTCCCACCGCGGCGGCGATCCCGGGTCTGGTCAAGTGGGATTTGTGGTGGACAAAGTGGCCCTTGGGCAAGTTTTCTCCGAGTACTTCGGTTTCACCTGCCAATCTTCATTCCACCAATTGCTCTACAATCGCCCTCACCTATCATCTGGGGCTGGTACATTAGGCCAGAAGTGGTCGCAGTACAAGGGACTTAGTCCCACCCCACTAGCAATAAATAAAAAAACTAATTACGTGCTACGTATGGGGAATGGAGGTACAGATCCACCATTCTGAACCATTTACCCATTGTATAGGAGATTAGTTGGGTCCCAGAACCGGTCTAGACGCTGTGGAGAAGATAAAATATTTGCCCTTGTCGGGAATCGAACCCCAATTCCTCTGTATTCCAGTCTAGAACGAATTGATATACCGACTGAGCCATCTCGACTCAGAATTTGTCTTTGTTCTTGACTAATTAAGCACGAGGCCATAAAGGCTTATGAGGGAGTGGAAGTGTAGCTCCACATTTCTTAGCCTCGACAGTAGGTGGAGGTGAGTGCCATTTTTCTCCCACGGAAAAATAACAGAAGACTTTGTGGACACCAGAACCAATCTTGACTCTGCGGAGAAGAGAATAATCTCTTTCTCCTGCCGAAAATCTAACTCGGATTTCTCGGTCACCTAACCCTTAGCCTAGTCGCACAAGCCAGAAATTAAAAATTGCGGATACTTAAAACAAGATGCAGCGGTTGGTAAAACTGGATAAAATGGAAAACAATGTATAATTCATAGCAACGGTCAGTGCTTGTTCGCTACATACATGGTGAACATAGACACACTAGGTTATGGCTAAACAACACTTGCATTTGCTATTGGTAACGTGAGGCACCTCTCAATTTGCTGTTAAGCAACTGGGCTTCTTATGGATAGATTATAAACATTACAAACATATGAGGGTACAACATTCCAGTGAGAGCGCTTTCCACACTTCCCCAAATCCTGAGAGCTCAATTCCCAAAACAACGGACTGCTCCAGGCGGACAAGTCGACGAGATTCCATGGTACCGGTTTTATCCTTATGCAAATTCCTCGTGAAAATTATTGGAGTCATCCTTGTCAGTGCTGCATTGTGTTTGTTTCAATATGTTCATCGGATTGAACAAATCCTAAAGCATGTTTATGAGGTGTGCATTCCACATTTTACAAATATGTGAAGGCGCAGTATTAGAGTCAACGCTTTCCCACATGAAAAGAATTCCTAAATGATCAGTTCCCAAGATAATATTTCAACCTCCTTGTTCGCCAGACTTAAAACCAGTGCGATCATTGATCTTAAATCTATAATCTCATTTAAACACTGGAAACACTTCAGCCTTCTTAGTTAGTTATTATAGAGGGTGGGTTTCCCCATGCACTTAGACCTGTAGTGGTCCATTGTGCTTCCCTCTACGATTTCTACCAGTCTCTATATCCTACCGGTAATGGTGCTTACCATCAGTCCCGCCCAGCCAGCGAGACCGGCTCTACTGGCTGAGACGTATCTATAATGCTTCCCCCATCTACCGGAGGTATTAGTGACTGCTGTTGGGCGGGAAACGTCAGTGACCTCCTTTGGAGGTATGAGGTTCTTTTACGTGCCGTAAAGCTACGACACGGGACCCACGGCTTAAAGTCCCTCCCGGAGGACTTGTTCCCTGAATTCTTCCGCCCTTAAAAATTCGACGACCTCCGCCGGGTATTTGAACCCGCGTAGTACGAGTCATGAGGTGGGAACGTTACCTCTAGACTATGGAGGCCGCTTTCAGCCTTCTTACCTGCATATGTCTTCTCTTCCGCGCAGGTCTCCTCAAGAAACAAATGGCACCACGACGACCGAGAAGTGCAGGAGGGACTGGAACGACATGTGGAGGCGAAGGAAGCATCACATCACACGGATCTACAAGCACACAAAGGCATTTCAGGTTTTAATTGCGAGGTAGAGGGAAACTTGTCTCTGTGCCTAATTAATTAAGCACTATGTCATGAAGACGGATGGGGGAGTGGAGATATGACTCTAACATTTTTGACCTCGATACTAGATGGATGTGAGTGGTCAGCTTCATGTTCTGGCTGCTTTACTTCAGGCTAAAAGGAGGCTGGGTGAACCCCAGAGCCGGTCTGAAAGCTGTGGGCTAGAGCAAAATCACTTGCCTCTGCCGGAAATAGAACCCCGACCTTCCAGCCCGTAGCCCGTCGCTATACCGACTGAACCGGCAACTGTCCGGTGTAGTTCTGTCATATCGATCTGCTTACAGCTGTGCTGCGGCTCGGGTTGTCTCTGGCCTCTCAACGCGAAGGTTCAGGTTCAAACCCAGGGCAGTCTATGAGGAATTTCTTGCGGACACAGTGGCGCTGAGGCAGGTTTCTTCTGAACACTTAGGTTTTCCCTCTGACAGTTATCATTCCACCTATCTTCCGTACCCATCTCTCGTGAGGGGATGGTAAAAGGGACCTACTCGAGGGCCCAGTCCCAAGCCACTCATTTAACTGTTTATCTGGCTATGTATATATCTTTTTATGAGCTTGTTATTCAATTACTAGGTCACTAAATTAATTTTCCAGCGAAATAAGTCAGTTTATTGGACTTTAAGTCAATTAATAAGAAAAATTGCTAGTCAGCCACTTAATAAGTCGACTTTTCGTTGGTTTTATACTTTATTAATTTTTTTTATGGTCAGTTATTAAGGCGGTTTACTGTTTCATTTCTTCGTAAGTCAGCTAGCACACTATTTATTGGTTTGTTAATCAATTAATAAGTCAGTTAATTGTGTCTTTTTGTCAGCAGGCTAATAGGGTGGCTTATTAATTTGTGAGTTAATAAGTCAGTTTAGTATAGTTCGTTTATATGCGGTCAGTTAATAATTGATTTTATTTAGTCTACTACCTGTAAGTTCGTTAGTCAGAGCATCAGTAAGTAACTGCATTAATTTTCTTAGTCGACAAGTAGCGTAGTCAGTTGAGTCACACTTCCTACATGCCGATCATGCAGGCTGCTGTTTTGCCAATTGCCCTTCACGAATCTCACACGGAGTCTTATGTAATTCTGTGTTTGCCGTCTACTCAGGCGTTCAAATCTCCGGAAACTGTTGTTAAACTCTAGCTTAACCCGTTAAGGCATAACTTTAGCTATATATCCTAACAGCTTTAACATACCCAAGCTCTGCATTCTGCCCATACAGTGTACGGTATCTGTGTTCCGTATGGCTCTCACAATAAACAGAGACTGTTTCCCTGAATACCATTAACCGGATGGGCTTTCCGTGGAGTCATTGTGTTTTCTGTGAGGTGTAAATTGGGATTCTAAAATTTCATTTATATAGGTTTCGACCGAAAAACCTAAAGGAAAGAGTTCATATTGTAACATGAAGCCTGAAAGCCTGAATAGTTCACTGCTAGGCAACGGATAAGTAAACATATTTCCCGCGGAAGCGAAGGCGCTAACCAATAGAGGAGTGGTGGTATCTATGGCCCGCACCGTGAGCGGGCCATAGATACCACCACTACTCTCCTCACACCACATCTCTGCAGGAGTGAATCAACATGCAACACTTGAGCCGTGCTAAAGCAATGGCTCCTTCCGTGACGTAATGGGTTCCAGCCATATCTCCCGCGCTACCCTTCGGCCGAGGTCCTAGAACTTACCCCCTCCTCCTCTTCCCCAATACCACGTGATTTTCCCACCCCTTCTGCCCTGTGTCTCGGAAATAAGTATGTTTGGGAGCGGAGGAGTTAGTCTGATAAGTGGATCCACTTGGACGAGGACGTCTGGTGGACCAGCGGGAGCAATTTCTAAATATCAGTTCAGCGGGGTTTTTTCTAAATTTGGTTTCGGCGTAGTCGGGGGCTGGCCGCAGACGTCGGGGTTACTTGCAGTCGCCAGCTATCAGGGGATAAGTAAGGCGAAGATGCGCGAATGGTTTAGTTAGCATTTTTACATATATATTTTTCTTGCGGCCGCCTGTGGCCGATTTGTTTAGTTAGTTATATATATAGATACATTTTCTTTGCGGCCGCCTGTGGCCGACTTGTTTAGTTAGTTATATATATATACATTTTCTTTGGGGCCGCCTGTGGCTGACTTGGTTTTGTTGAATATATTTTCCTTGCGGCCGCCTGCGGCTGAGCAGGAAGTGAGTTCCGTACGTAATGTAGGTGGGCCAGTAGAGCGGGGCACGTCGTTGAGTTGATGCCGTGAAGTGCGGATCAGTATAGGGTAAATCAGCCATGTCTATTGGGTTATATATTTTGTATATTCTTGCAGTGTGTTTGTGTTTATTAAATGTTGTTATTGTTATCTGGTCAGTCATTAACTTCAGTAAGGCCCTCCGCTACGAGCTTGGATTCCCTGCGACGACCTTAGGGAGTATTGTAAACACGACGCGAGAGCCTGGGACGGTGAACCGCTCCCGACTTCACGATGGTTGTAGGTGGTAGGGTGAAGACGGGAGTAGCATCGGTTCACAGTGTAGGAAGCGATGTTTTCTGCGGGGGCCGCCCCGAGGCTATAAAACGAGGATCTCGGGCAGCTAAGAACTGAGAGACAGCCGCCCGTGTGGAGGCGGGGTCGAATACCTCCACCGTGACCCTGCGAGTCGTAGGAGGCGACGAAAAAATCTCAAATGAGACAGTAATATATGGTCGCAAGTACCAAGGGACTTGGACCTGAGAAAGACTGCGCTGGCAAGGGCCAGTAGCATATACAAAAGACAGACCCGTCCTCTTGTCACAGAGGGCGCTCCACAAAAATAAGACCGTAACTGTCAAAGACTAATAAATATCTAGTCATGAGCCCCAGATGGGGCTCGACACCAAGACTTACTGACTGACTGACTGTCAGTCGCAATGTGACTTTGTCTTTGACTTTGACTAAGAACTGAGGGAGACTCTGGAGGCGGCAGCCGAAGATAATGAAGAAGACATTAGTGTGTGTAACAGTGAACTGTAAAGTGCGGAAATAGCTCTATCAATAACTGTATTTACGAGCTGAGTGTCAGGAGCTGGGATAGCGCAGTAGGTATAGCGACTGACTACGGGCTGGACGACAAAGGGGTCGGAGTTCGAGTCCCAGTAGGGTCAAGAATTTTCTCTTCTTCCCGTCGTCCAGACCGGCTCTGGGTTCCACCCAACTTCCTATGCAATAGGTACCGGGTACTCTTTCCTCGGGGGTAAAGCGGCCGGGGCGTGAAGCCGACCACTCACGTCCAACTAGTGCCGAGGTCAAGAAAACGGGATCTATATATATCCACACCCCCATACACCTCCATGGCATAGTGCTTAATTAGTTAAACACAGGGATACCTTACCTTTTACGAGTTGAGTGTATAAGTGTAATAAATCCAATCATCCACTCCACAACCAGTCTATAACTCACGCACACCCCTCTACATGTGACAATATACAGAATTTCTGAGACCTTGGCGGAGAGAGAGAATAATATTAAAATGAACCTTAAAGAAAATTTGTGTTAGGTTGTGAAGTAGATTTTTTTTTGACAGAAGACGGACGAATGGCGGACTCTTGTGAACATGGTAATGAACCCTCAAGTCCAATATCGGTGTGAGGTATCTTTCAAATAGCGGAGAAGGTATAGGCTTCTCAAAGGGGGGTCTACTAAACGTTGTCATTGGGATCTTAATGGTAAATATTTTGTCGCGGGTTCAAGTCCCGATGAGGTTAATGGATTTTTTTCAATTGACCTAATCCTTCTAGCGCACTATGGCCCTGGGGCCGACTCAGCCTCTAACAGAAATGAGTACCAGGAATTAATTAAATAATTTTCCTGGGGAGTAAAGCGCGGCCGGCGCGTAATGCTGACAATCTTACCGCCATCTTTGAGCCGATTGTCTAGATAATGTGGGACCCTCAACGTCTCACAACCCTATTGGCCTCACGGCCTCTTACAGGGATAGCTTTACTTTATGTACCCTTTGTTTTCTTTATAACATCTGTAAGTTCCTTCTGAGTTCCGCGTAAATTGGGCATTGTATTGGATCACTGCGAAAAAAAAAACTTCATTTCAGTAACTTTCAGTGAATATCTCCAAAACCAAATTTAATCCAATTCTGTTCAGCAGTTTCGAAATAAAAATGTGTGGAGGGCCGACGGACAGGAAGTATCATTTCCATTATGCGTTCATTTCACGACCTCGTGCCAAGAATTTCTATTACAACCGCAACTTAGGGCAGGTGGACACAGAGGTAACATGTATGATTCACATCTGACAGAACGCCGACTGCTTAAATGTCCGGCTTTTGCTTTCGCGACTAGACGGCGTCGAATGTTGGAGGTTTTCCAATGCTTCGGCGAAACTTACAGTTGCCATGTTCAGGGTTAATGGATTGTGAGAAGGGGTTCGCCAGTCTTACATATCTCTTGCATTAGGCAGTGCATCGAAGGTGAAGCCGTGATTGGATGAACAAAGGGGCGGGACGCTAACCACTGAACCTGAAGGCGGAAACTGAAAGGCTTGTCGAAAGTTTCAAAACCTTCAACAGTCGATGCGGTATAGTGTCATAAACCAGAGGCACAAGTTAAGGCCGCAAATTTAACATACTGCGGGCTGGACGGCTCGGGATTCGATTCCCGGCAGAGGCAAGAGATTTGTCAGTTCTCCACAGCATCCAGACCGGTCCTGGGGCTCACCCAGCCTTATATCCAAAGGGTACCGGGCTTTTTTCCGGGGATAAAGAGACCGAGGCGTGATGCTGACCACTTACCTTCAACTAGTGCCGAGGTCAAGAATGATGGAGCTGTACTTACATCCCTCATACGTCTTTATGGCGTCGTGCTTAATAAGTCAAGCAGAGGGATAATTATACCTTGCTATCCTAAGTGCATCGTGGTTTTCCTCAGTTCTACTGTTGCGTGACTCAGACTACTGACGCTACCATCTTCATGCTCATAATTTTACACAGATTTTATCTCATTTGTGTTACATAACCCCTGCAGATGATAAACAACTACGTTCTGTGCCACAGCACAAGCCCAAATGTCGCCCCAAGCGGAAAATTAACCCCCTTCTCACTTGAAAAAGGCCCAACTTTTGCCGAATTGCGTGACAATAACGCCAGATTTCTAGAAACTGTAAAGTAAACCGTCATATTTTTTTTTAAACTAATAAACAAAAAAAAAACTCCGTGGTTTTAGTCCGCAAGTGAACTATACCGACCGAGCGACCGCCACTTGTCCGCAAAGTTAGTGCCAATTTTTAAAACGTAATTCCTAAAATATGTATTTACATTGTCGCACAATGTGAACACGTTGCGAACAAAAGACGAGGATAAATCATATTTAATTTAATACAAAATAAAGGAGTTATAAAATGTCCTGCCCAAGGAAGGTCCTTGGTTTGCCTGATTTGTGGATCCAGTCTTGCGCATGTCCATGCAACACTGTCTGTAATAAAAAGTTTATGTCAGACTCTTGTCGGTGCCTTTACGCCACCATCTTTCGGAGGGATCACCGGAACGCTACGCCATCTATCAGGAGGAAAACAAAAAATATCGCACCTCTGTAATGCCATTGTTAGGTGTTCCTAATGCTTCACTGCCGTTGATATTCGCGAAGAAGGAGCCTGCACTACCAGAAAGGAGTTTGTTGACTAAACAAATTATTTTCTTCCGTCACGTCTCGCTGCGCAGCGGACAAATATGGTAAGCTGGATCAGCTCCCAAACACACGGCAGAGAGTGACAAGCATTTCTTATCGTAGTAATAGAAAAGAGAATAGTGCTCATAAGCAAAATTAGTTCATTACTGTACCTTGAGATAAGTTAAAAGAAATTACGAAATTTATAATGATAAAATAAATGCTCATGTTACATAACGTAGAGACCCGCTAAACATTTCAATGTAGGAACCTGGCGCTCATCTCGTAAGTCAGTACATCTTTATACCAGAGTGAAGCGAGATGGAAAGGAAGGGGTGAGGAGAGGGGCGAGAGAGAGGAAGCGTGAAGTCGAAGAATGAAGGAAAGAAGCGACAGATGTCCTTCCTTCCAACTCGTAATATCAGAAAGCAGCCTGACTTCCAAGTTTAACTCACTGCATTAAGCAAACTACACAAGGCAGAAGGTGATCAGGTGTGCTAGGATAGTAAGTACCTCAGAGTAGGCCACGGTCATTTCACACCATCGCCACTTTCAAGGGCTAGGCAGGGATAGGAACACCGAGAAAGAAACTGACCAAAGTTTGATTTCAAGCATCTATGAGAACTCACCGATATGAACCCACGATATCATGTATAAGGTGACATTAAAACCACACAAACCGCACATGTATTAGTCGAAATTAGAAAACTGAACATAGCGATGTAATTATTAGCATTCCAACATCGCATTTCAACTGTCACAATTTCGGACATAAGATCGCGAGAACGACTGTTTTGAATGAAGTCTACTTTCATGGCTTTCCTCAGTACCTTCATGCGAAATCTGGGACATTCACTCGAAACAATTTAAGATCTTATAAATGTTACTGTTGTTTCCCTGTACACTTTACAAAAATATAAATTCTGCTGTTGAAGTAGTGTCTTCTACATTTGCAAACAAAATTGTGTGCATTTCTTGGTTTTCATTTCAGCACCAAGTACTTACATTAACACTGCATGCAGAAAAAAAAAGGAGAAAATGTCGTTATTTAAGGCGATGTTTAAATTTTGGCGCCGAAATTATCTTCTTTATCTGACGCACTTGGTAACACTGTCGTATTGCTTCTATGGTGACTTGACGATGTTCTACAACCCACATGATTTATATAACTGTAATCTTAAAATCAGAAATATCTTGATAAAGGAGTACGGAAGAAAAAATGTTTTGTGTTCTCTAAACAGCAATACGAACCTGGCAACCTTCCACTCCACAGGTGCGCCAACTGACCGCTAACCTCCACACAAACCTGACAGATGACTGAAGACTCTCCGATTTCCCTTCAACGTCACACACCCCCGCTACAACATCCCCCCCTAGTCGCCGTTGAATCACGGATTGCCATGGCCTAGTTTAATTAGACCTGAAGCAACATTGAGATATGACAGAACCTACATTCACTCACACTGCGTATTATTGCATTTTCAAATCACTGCACACGCCTACTTCGCAATTATGATGCCCCTCTCTGCGACCATTTGTGTACACTCCATTCAAATGCCGATACATTCCACTAGATACCACCACAATGCAATATCGAATGACAGTCACGTAACGATGTTTTAGAAAGCGCATGAAGCGTAGATAATGTTCATTGCCTCATATTATTTTACTGCTTCCTACTCTTTGATATATTTCCACATTCTTTTTTTGATTGTAAACTTGAGAATATCAGTGGAAAATATGTTATCGTATGGATCTGACTTGTGGCTCCCCCCTCCCCCCCCAAAAAAGATGGAAGATGTGTTAAAACGGAGTTTACAATCTGAAATATAAGAGATTTCAGGACACAAAAATATAAATATTCAACTACACTGACGTGAACATATTCGATTACAGATAGAAATATGATAGGTATATAAAATGTGAAATTGAATATGTGGCAGATTTATTTTGTTCACGACGTGCGTGGATTGGGCATGAACACGCAAAAGACACGGGGTGTGATAAGTGAAGAGCCTGTTTCAGAATAAATCGGCAGTCGTAATAAAAGGCTGAGAAATTCTGAATATCACTTATCACACAATGCTGTCCTACAGCACTAGAACCGTATTACACACGTGCTATATATAGTACTTTACTGATATCAGTTCTGTTGTAAAAAACAGACATAGCGTGACCTGACGGCTAATGGGGGGCATAAGTTTACATTCACTGCAGTCAACGTAAATTAAATATATGAAATGATGGGCAATTGGCGCAGAACATGCAATGGAAGCAAGATTAGCGAAACAAGTCTAAATGCACAGTGGGAGGCGACAAACTGCGGCAGCTGTAAAATAATTCAGTTTTGTTATTCTGTTCCGTGATTTGATTGTCATCAAAGGACGGTAGGGCTATTTACGTTCGCACTTTCCCTAGGAGTAAAGCAGCCGAAGCGTGAAGCTGATCACTTATTTCCATCCCCTACAATAGTGTTAAAATATAGAATATGTGGATCTTTACTGTCACGCCACACTTTCCTTCAAATTGTGATCAGGAATGGCGGTTCTAGCGCTGAACGCAAATAGCTGAAGTTAAATAGAGGACAGCTACATATGAAATAAAATTAGTATTTTCCCATATTTTTGTGAATTCTTTGCAGAGCGCGGATTAAATTAACTCATATGGGGAGATCACACATCTTGTCCTTACGTCCGCAAATAACGGCTTTGAAACTAACAGGTTTTCGCTGATTTTGTGTAGGGGTCCGCTAAAACCTGCAGAGCAAATTACATTTTGCTCCGCATTGATCCTCATTACAGCAGAGTGGTTGGCACTTTTTTTTTAATTCGCTTAGTGGGGGGTGGAGTCCAACTGGGTCCACTCGGCACGGCGGCCACTGATTGGCCTATTGTAGCCTGCCCCGTTGATTATGATAGAGAATTTGGTGGAATGAAGATTGGCAGGGGAAACGGAAGTACTCGGAGAAAACCCGCCCCAGCGCCACTTTGTCCACCACAAATCCCACTTGACCAGGCCCTGGATCGAACCCGGGCCGCCGAGGTGGGAAGCTAGCGACTACCCGCTTTTGGCACCTTACTTTGCATTCCGATTCATGTCTAGGCTCGGAGACAATGCATCGCACCGGAGATATTACGTGGTTTTCTTCGGTCTCTCCAGATAAATGTCGGAATAATACTTCAACATAATTCTTATGCTTCTTTATTTCTAAAAATCTTATGTTCTTCCACTTTTTCTTTGGACAGTGATTGATATCGTTGCTTTTGGTATGTATAATTTCGAGAATTTTCTGGACTGAAAATATATTCAAATAAAAATTTAGGCCAAAATTTTGAAGAATATCAAAGATACGCGTTTCGCATCAATTCTTGTCTGTCTACTTCCGTTGGTTGCGTGCTCTGCAAGCACCAAGGATCTGAAAAGTGTTGGACCAACAAAGGGAGCTTGTGGTAGTTTGGGCTGTCATAAAATCGAATCCAGTACTATAACGTCTCTCTTCAAAGTGCATCTGCGCCCAGAGGCGGCCAACTTAAGCCGTGAGGGAGTGGCTACATAGCCTGTGATCGAGTTGTCGGAGAGATATTTTCTATAGTCTATATTTCCCTGCCCCTTTTCATTAACTTCATTACTTTTGGCTCAAATTAGCGTACTATTACTGCATGATGCATGGGCTCAATTGCCAGAATTTCCATTGCCTTCCTATGCCTCGGAATTTGGCTAAAACTTCTGAAAAAGTCACACTCCGCCATTGTGCGGGTGAATTCAGACACCAGGAATTTTACAGACAGCACCTATCATACAGAAAAATAAATGGCCCCAAAAAGCAGTTAACGGCAAAGAAAGAAACCCTTCCCTTTTCAGAAATCAAAATCTGGTATCCTACCATATTACTAAGTCATAACAAAGCGTAAATCGTGTTTAAGATCTGCACTTTTCCACATGATTAATATTTTATAAAATACATGGGATAAGAAATTATTCCTGTGTGTAGTGTAACATCTTTACCTTTGTTCACCATTATCAAGAAAAGAATAATGAATGTGCAGAATGTAACATCTTCACTGTTGATTGGTTCTGTCAGAAAATCTGCAGTAACTTAACATGAAGATCAAAATCAGACAGAAAATTTGAACTGAAGCTTACCTTTCCACTATTTTTAAACTTAATTGCACGTTGGGGTATTGTAACTCTATATTGTAGAAATGCTGATTGATATGTCTGCACAGCATACTTACGTTTCTGCAGAATATACATAACACCATTTGTTCAGTGATAAGATAAGAAAACACACCATTTTCGATATGCAATTCTGTTCGTAAGTTTTTGCTGCTCTCAAACAGATAACAGTATGCAGGAGACAAGAACAGCTTGTTCATAATATGACTGCCTGACAAATATACAATATGGTACTTATCAGTGATAATGAAAGACAGATATTTTCATGTCAGTGTGTGCCTAACTCTTTGGAGTAGAATTCTCCTTCAGAAATTATTAGCAGATACTGTGGACATTTGTCACGTTTATGGAACATGAAGTTTTACTGAAATGTTCAAAGAAGCCTGCTACTACATTCTGTCCGAAACCAAATAAATCCTGCCTACTGCATCATTAGTTTCTACTTATTAATGATTCATTATAGTATTATTCTCCCCTGGCCAGGGGGGTGGGACAAGTCAGTCATCCCCCATCCCCCAGGATGTTTCGGTTTTGTTTGCCACCTATGTTTAAATACTGAGACCCAAACCTCTACAATGATGCATAAAAATATTCTTAAACGGTTTAAACGTAAGTATAAGTATGTCAGCATGTTTTCTGTTTCCTCCTCCCTTATACAACACCCAGCCATGTTCATAATCCATCTGCAGTCACAGCCTTTCCTCTGTAACAGCAGTTCAACCAAGGGACTGATATTAATACCTTTAACCGCTATCGTCTGGTTCATTTTATAATTTCTGACCATCATTAATACCAACATGACAGTGATCCAAGCTTCATAAGTTGGAGTTCTACTATAATGTTACACGAGGTTGCGGTACCGAACTTTTGTGTTCTGACAGAACCGTCTTTCATTAAGGTTGCATGTTGGACAGAAAATATAGCTTTGTCATTCCATTTCTTGCAATAACAATTAATCCGTTGTAACCAGGAACATTTAAACAAACCACACACATTATAAACATTTTGTATTAAACACATCATGTATTAGAAATTATAAATATTGCAACAGTGACTATCTTTGATGTTATGTCTACATACTTTAAAAAACAGGGAGTCCATAATAATGGAAATTATTGCAAAAATATAGTCACCTTTGTAATCATTAATTTATTAATTCCTGATGTCCAATTAAGATGGCATTTGAAGAAAAGCATGGAGTGTGTTATAAATAATTTCATATTTTCTTCCATTCAATACAACATTTTTAATGATGCAGTGTTCCACTTCCAATATTTGAAACTCCTCAAAAATGTCCATGTTTAATTTTGAGTAGAATAATGCCAGAGGCCAGAGAGGGACAAATTAAAATGGACTATTTTATAATCACCACAGACAAGATAGCCTAGAGAGAAAAGAAGAAATATATCTAACGGGATATAAGCACCCAGCAGTCTAGTGACATTTCATAGTAACATCTGCCTCCATCTTCAGGATCAAGGAGTAAGTCAAGCAAGAAACCAGCATGAAAAAGGCAGCAAGCAGAACTGCACTTGAAAAAGGACATGCCACTCTCACTCCTTGCCACACATCACCAAGGGTAATCATCTGTGGCGGGCACAATCATGTCCCATCACCTTGTTGCAGGGTACTTACTACTTAATACCCAATTACCACTTCTGAATCACTCTGTAGAATAGTTCTAAGTTAGGACAGGTTTAAAGAAACAAATAGCTCAGTCAGTATAGTAACTAGGCTATGGGCTGAACAATTGGAAGATCAGGGTTTGATTCGCAGCAGGGATAGAGGTTTTCTTTTTCACAGCATCCAGGTTAAGTCTGGGGCCCATCTAGCCTACCATCCTACTATCCAATGCTTATCTGAGGGTCACTCCCTAGGTGTAAATGGCCAGGTAGCAAAGCTAACTACTAACTTCCATCTAGGTTGAGCTATATCTCTGCTCTCCAATGCTGTTCCACACTGTGGTGCTTCAGTAAGTCCAGAGACATAAGCGGCCTCCGTAGTCTAGGGGTAACATTCCCACCTCATGACTCAAGGTACGTGGGTTCAAAAACCCGGCAGAGGTCGTGTAATTTTTAAGGGCGGAAAAATTCAGGGAACAAGTCCTCCGGGAGGGACTTTAAGCCGTGGGTCCTGTGTCGTAGATTTACGGCACGTAACAGAACCTCATGTCTCTAAGAGACCGCTGAGCTAAATTAGGCCAAACATTTCCCGCCCAAAATAGTTTCCAATGCCTCCGGTAGATGGGGAAGTATTAGGTACCACTGCCAGAGGAGGGACAACCTCGCTGAGAGAAAGGGACTAAAGTATTAGATACCACTGCCAAGTAGAGGGTAGAAACCTTGCTGGCAGAAAGGAACTAGGAACCCCTGTCAGAGGAGGGATGACCTCGCTGACAGAAAGGGACTAACTATTAGATACCACTGCCAAGTAGATGGTAGAAACCTTGCTGGCAGAAAGGGGCTAATAGTGATCACCAGTACCGGTAGGGTATGGAGACAGTAGAAATTAAAGGGGGATGCACAATGGACCAATAACTGGGTAAGTCCAGAGACATTAGCTTCTGAGTTTAGAGATGTGTGTGTCAGAGCCTGTAACAATAATCATCTCAAATTCGGTAAGATTTATGTTTCAGGAGGATCAGGAATAACTTTCAGTAGCATAAGAGTGCATCTTGATATACACCAGAGAAAAACAGGGTGGCTCCCGGTAGATGTAAAAAGTGATTCTGAAAAGCAAAACGCAGATATTAAGTCATGTGAATTATGTAGTAATTTGAATAAGCAGGGGCTATGAAAAATGTTGAGAGAGTTTAAAATATTGGCTAATGAGGTAGGGAAAGGAGTGAATAAACTGGGTAATGAAGCCAACAATACAGGAAAGACTTAAGACAATATCAACCAAAGGATCCAGTTCAGTTCCATGATGTTATAATGGTCAGAAGAAGTCATTTTTAAATACAGATGTCCCATAGTAACATAAATTACAAAATTATAAGACAATATAAAGCCACAAATATACTGAAAGAACAGATTATTGAAATTATAACGAAGATGTGAAACTTTTGACAAAGAAGTAAAAATCTACCAGCTGATAGACTCTAATATTGCAAACATGAAGAAAAAATATATCTACCAATGGAGTTTCAAGTCATAGCCAATATATGGGCATTTCACTTTATATCCTAGTGCAGTGAAACTCCCATTTAAGGTTTCTCTAGAGAGCAGTGGAGTTTAACACAAATTCAATTAGTCCAGTTGCACTGCAACACAAAAGTCACACAAGCCATTGCAAATAATGACAACTGAACATATTATTTCATTACTGAACATGCTTGAAACTAATAGGTAGTTTACATGGATAGATTTACTCAAATGCATCAATTTTCACAGAATCTTATATATGTCATATGTATTAAGGGTGTTTGTCATAATATATAAATATTCAGTGAAAACTGGGTTAGATCATCAGTTTAAGACTACAGCACTTCAATAAGATTTTACTGTACTGCTAAAATGGACATTTTCTAGGTGCACATTCTAAAGAAAATCTTTAAAATGCTTATAAAATAATTCACATTCCATCCAAATATCAGCATATACTTCTGACTGTCAAATACTATAATCTTTAAAACACACTGAAATTTGTTATAGGTTAACACTCCAATATCTGAGGCTGCAGTTCTCCACAAATCCATCAGATCAAAAGTATAAAATGAATAAATAATAAAACAGAAGTGACAAGTAAGAATTTTTAAGAACTGAAATAGGAGATGAGAGCTTACAGATGTTTAAATTATTAGAAATTAACAGACTACAGTGGTTTTGGCATATTAAAGGAATTGATGTATACACAATATTTAGAAGATATCTGGAATTACAAGAAAAAGCAAAAGACCAAAGAATGGCCCAGATATAGACTACAAAGTGTTTAACAGTGTTAAAAGCAGAGGAAAAGTATGGGCTGGGTCACAAGATGATTAAGAGCACAGGAAACTTAGACTTAAAATATTTTAAAAGAACGTAAAATGACAAATGTGTGATGGCTTTTCATTCACAAACACACCATCGAGTGGAAACACTGACAGCAAGAGGAGAAAATAAGTGACTGTATTAGGCCTGGTTCTTTTCACGTTGCATAATTAATTTTTTTTAAATTTATAAGATTTTCCGCTTTTCAGGATATTGAAAGTTGACCCCAAGAATATTACTTATGTCTACACTATATTCAGTTCAATCTTTGAAAACTCTGTATTACCAGAATGGAAAATGAAAAACAATCCACTAACTTAATCACTTTTAAAACGTGAATCTGTACAAATCATATAAATTTTGTGAGACAAATTAACATAAATTATTGAATGACTGGATGACTCAAATACAATTGCATATCCTACTAGATGCAACTATGTGTTCATAAATTTATACTGAAACACTGTCATATGCTGTGGAGATTTATATGTCTTGGTATTTTCATGTGAAAAGCTGAACCACCACTGGTGGCTTGCAGGTTTCCATCGTGTTTAGGTGAAACTGCAACAGAAATTATGAATGTAACAAGCAACACTTGCCACCTGTAACTAACATCTATAAGAATCTTACATTACATAAGCATTCTTTTTTTCTTTTCTCGGGCAAAGCAATTATGTACATCGAAAACCATGAACCACATAAAATTTGGGTTAGAAAATTTCAAGGGCACGGAAGTAAATGGGAGGGTAGTAATGTGATTAAACTTAACACTTTGCAGACCGGTGGCATATTTTTATGCCCAGCGCTTTTAAACGTGGCGGACCGGTGGCATATTATTATGATTTTAGGACACGTTATGTTGAAACACACTATACCTTGCACTGGCACAAGGCAGACGCACGACTGATGTGTGACAGACCTCCTGAATGTTTGCTTCGTAGTCACTAACATGACCCCGCTGTTTATGACCCAACTGTTTTCCTTTCCCACTCCAAAAGAAAATGCCTTTGTTCATCTTCCAGCTGCATGCACCAGGCAGGAAGTTAATAGTGCAATATGGATCAGGTCGGAAGAGGTTGAGGTCCAAGCATTTTCTCGGAGAACAAGAAATATGACTTGTTCTCCGATGAGCTATCTAACGTCCCTTGAGTCTGGTAGTGATAGCAACTCACAATCTGATAGTGAGTGTGGCAGGGGCGAACAAAAAATTGTGGCCACAGACAGTGAAAGTGAAAGTGACAGCAGCTCCGACAAAAGTTCAGGTAGCAACATTGCAGGGACAGCCACATGGGGTAAAGTAGACAAAACGCCTGCTTTGGGACAGTTTACTGGAAATCCAGTGGTGAAGCAAATTCCATCGGACTCAACACAAGTGTCTGAAGTAGCGGAACTGTTTTTTTGGAGATAGTTTCTTTGACATGCTATGTCAGGAAACTAACAGANNNNATTTCAATGATAATGAACTGCAACCACAATCAACAAGCAGGCTTTTCAAAATTCAGCCCTTATTTAACTTTTTCGTTCCGAAATTTCAGACAGTTTATAAGCCAAACCAACAACTGTCTTTGGACGAATTTGTGATTCCTTTGAGGGGAAGGCTTCACATGCGAACATATCATCCTGGGAAATTTACAAAGTATGGTCTACTTGTTCATGTAGTTACTGAAAGCAGTTCAGGCTATACTGGAAATTTAGAAATTTTTTCTGGTGAAGAAAAGAGATTACAATAAACTATTCTTTCCGTTTTGAAAAACTATCTTGATTAAAATTACCATGTCTATCAAGACAATTATTATAACAGTGTGGCAACTGCAGAACTCCTACTTTCAAGAAAAGTACGTGTTTGTGGAACAATTAGGGTGAACAGAGGCTTTCCTCCAGATCTGAAAGAGGAATGTAAATCCCTGAAACGTGGTGAAACCACATTCAGGAGGAAGGGGGATATTCTTCTTCAGTCCTGGAGGGATATTCGTGTTGTGAATATGATTTCCACAATTCACAATTCGGGCGTGGTTGATGTTCAAAGGAGACATGGACAAGTAAAGAAGCCTGTTTGTATTTCCGAGTATAATATGTTCATGAAGGGAGCTGATAGAGCCGATCAGTACTTGGCCTATTATTCTCTTCCTCGGAAAACAGTAAAGTGGACAAAGAAAGTTGCCTTGTGGCTTATAAATTGTGCCATTTTCAATTCATTTTTGTTTTTCAAAAATCTAAACCCTCATTCAAAATTGAAACACAAGGCATTTCTGCTGAATGTGGCAAAAGCCTGGATTACGGACCAGACAGTGGTGGCAGACACAGACTTAGTGCAACCGGGTCCATCAACTCCCACCCCACGCAGGCCCCTGGGTGACTCTCAGGTGATATGCAGAAACATACCGTTGTGAAAATTGTGAAAAAGGAACATGCCAAGGGGAAGCAGCCTTCTAGGTGATGCCGTGTCTGCGCGATACAGAACAAAAGGAGTATGACTGTCTACATGTGCAAGTTCTGTGTAATGCCACTTCACAAAGGGGAATGTTTCCAGAAATATCACACTCTCAAGCACTTCTAGGAGCATTGGTAAGTGTTCTCCAAAAATTTTAGTTCATAAAATTAATTAGGAGATTTTATATTAATTTTTAAAGTGAACAGTGCACAAATTTGGGTAGTAGGTTTAAAAATGCCGGTCCCCAGGGTGGTTTAAATATTTAAATCGCCGGTCCGCGAAATGTTAAGCAAGTAGCATATGAGGTGTAAAGTGGATTTAGCTGGCATAAGCTGTATTCAAATGATGGGTGTGAAATAGTTAAGAACAGCTGAGTTCTTATTCAGTGCCCACAGAAGACCCTGCACCATGAAGTTTATAGATTTACATGTCTTCTTCCTTTATCTTTTAAGACTGATTTTCTATTAAGGATAATTCACACTTTCAAACATGTCATAGTATTTTATTTTCTAGTTTTTCTGCTTAATATTTATGACTGTTGAAACCAGAACTCTATAACATGGACTGGAATGGAGAGAACTAGAAATTTTAGAGGACAAACTTCTTGGAACACTAAAAACAGAATATGAGGGAGAGGGATGAAACTGGCTTGTAATCATAACAAATGGTGGGCTTCTGTAGTAGTGGTGGTGAACCAAATAGTAGTGTTAGTCTATTAAAGGCGAACACCTAGCATAAACACACTAAATCAATGACATTAATCTGTCTGTGAACCTTCATCTTCAATTTGGTACAAAACTGATAATGTGTCTTATTTATCTGCCAGCCACACTGGGCATTCAGCAAATTGATATTTGTACATTAATACTGACCTCTGAATATTGATGGGTGACTATACTGAACACTCATTGCACTTTTTTTTCTTTTAAATTCAATTAGTGGGAGGTCCAGCTGTGTCCACTCAGCACAGCAGCCACCGATTGGCATACTGTAGCCTGCCCTGGGCAATTATGATGATGGAGAATTTGGTGGAATAAAAATTAGCAGAGGAAACCAAAGTACTCGGAGAAAACCCGCCCCAGCACCACTTTGTCCACCACAAATCCCACTTGAGCAGACCCGGGATCAGACCTGGGCCGCTGCAGTGGGAAGCCAGCGACTAACCGCTTCAGCTATGGCGAGGCCACTCATTGCACTTTGTACTGATCCTTGAACAAAACAGCAACTATGAACATTGCGGTAGCGTAGTTGGTTCAGGCACTATGCTACAAGCCGGAAGGTCACGGGTTCAAGTCTCGATAAGGTCACTGGATTTTTTCAATCGACCTAATCCTTCCAGCCACATACCCTGGGGTCGACTCAGCCTCTAACAGAAATGAGTACCAGGAATTAATTAAATAATTTTCCTGGGGAGTAAAGCAGGCCCAGCACGTAAGGCTGACAAGCTTACTGCCATCTCTGAACCGATTGTCTAGTTAATGTGGAACCCTCAATGTCTCACAACCCTATGGGCCTTCATGGCCTGTTACAGGGAATTTTTTACTTTGTATGAATGTTACTAGGAATATGGCCTGAGAATAATGTTAGTGAATAAAAGTGAATACATTTATATACTTTGGAAAATAAATTAACTCTTCAGAGTTCATCTAAATATTTAAAAATTTGGTACCTACCTCACAGAAAGCCAATTCATCACCATTACAAAGACCAACCATGAGAGAGAAAGTTAATTTAGTTGGTTAGGCACTACATGGATGGCTGTCTTGTAAATATTCTTCCTTCTTTTGTGAAACAGCTGTTATATATTCTCACAGGCTTGGCAAGAAGAGGGGTAAATACAGCAGAAACACACAACACACCAAGAAGGACTACAGACTCTCAGCTCTTGCCCTGTACTCTTGAGTTCTTTCAAATGGGCCCCAGTGAGAAAGCCCAGAGATGGGAACTGATCACATAAACAACACTGACTATGACAAAAACAGTCTTCTGGGATGTGGCGCCATGTAGCTATTGTGTTGACGTTCCTCCAAAATGTCGGTTAACACAATAGCTACACAGCGCCACATCCCAGAAGACTGCTAAGTTCATAGTCACCGCCATCAAAACCTCAAATCTTACAACACTGACTATGACTTAATATGTAGCTCTTAACCATTACATGCATATTTACATCAATCTAAACAAGACAAGGATCAATATAATAGAGTAATACAATTCTTGTCATGTTACAATTGCAGAAATACAACTGACACAAAATGTGAGACCTGTACATACTTCAATACAAATAACAACAGGAGGAAGTACATCAACATACATCATATTTGCAACTAGAAGTAATTTTATAATATCAGACAAAACTGTTACATATTATAACTTTTAAACTTCCTTTTAATGTATGCTTTCTGATGACCTATATGGGCTGAAACATGTAAAGGCAGTAAAATAAGTAATCTCATATATAATACACTGGATGGTACTCCTATTAAAATTAATATTACTAATTACACGATACTTCAAACTCATCTGTAAGTGACAGTTACTTCGAGAGTGTATACAGTGCATACTAAATCATTATTCTGGTTTTAAGATAAAACAATAATTTATCATAGCTGTGACTCACTGCTGTTACTCACATTATCCTGGTACTTTGGTGTTCTTGTTGCGCTGTGTATTGCTGCAAACCTCTTTTTTAGCACTGCAGCAAGAACATTAGATGGATCTGAAGGAGTTACAGGCCGTCTTTTAGGATTTCCACCAGGAGTTCTGTAGATTAAAGAATTATATAAATACAGTAAAACTTGGTTATAGCAACATCGGTTTCTGCGACACCTTGTCTATTGCGTCAAATATTCAGTGGTACGAACTAATTCCTCATAAAGTAACTGTTTTTATACCTTGCTTAGTACGACATGCACAAATGCATCAACCTCGTATGTAACGTCATTTTCATTCCTGAATTTCTCTGAGATGGACATTGAACGTAATTTAGAAAGTGTGTATTGGGCAAGTAACAGGAAACAGATGAAGATAACTGATTACTGTACTCGTATCTAGGTACAGTAAAGCACAACAATTGATGTAATCTACTGTAATTTGGTGAGTGGGCCTACCTTTAATATACAGTATTAGTGTGGTGTGCATTGTCAGTGAAAAGCGCTGTAATATGTCTTTGATATTACACATTTGGGCAATTCCACGTTAATGTTATGTTAGTCTGTACTTAACTACGTATTTCACTAAAAAATGCAACATTTTAACTCGGTTTTTGGTAGATTTTTACGTGACTAACATAAGGCTACTGTGGAAGTGCCCATTTCGGTTACAACGACATTCGTTTATAACGACACTATTTTTAGGTCCCTTTGATGACGTTATAACCAAGTTCTACTGTATATATGTGTACAATATTCTGTATGAATGTGAGACATCTTCTCTTACTTTGAATTAAGGAACGCTTAAAAGCAAAGTAACGAGGAACATACTGCAAACTTACCGCTCCACAGGACGCAGCTTCACTTTAGTAACATCCTTCATAATGTCTCCCAGTGAGAGCACAGCCTCTCCACTGGATTTGGTGGGGCACAAACTGTTAGCTTTTGATTTGTTGCTTACATTTCGTACAGGTATTAGTGACAGTGGAAGGGGTGGTGGTGGCGGTGGTGGCAGTGGAGGAGGTGGTGGTGGCAGTTGTGCTTGCAAAAGCGATGTAGATGATGAAACAACACACCTCACAGCTACAGCTGTCTCTTCACTGTCTATAAATTAAAGTAAAGAAAAATATTTAAATCTTAACTCTGAATCCTGCTCACCTGGTTTCTACGCTTGTGATGCATACAATTATATGGTGCATGCCACAGGAGAAAGGAAAATGTAAGTAAAGATTGGAGGAAATATAGAATGGACTCGGGGAATGGAAGAGAAACAGGGAAATAAAGTATAAACTATGCATATGCACATTTGCAGTGTGTCTCCACAAATTTTATCAGCTGAAACAGTCAAGTTTATGCTGTTATACAAATTCCAGATTTATTGAGGATATTGAAATAAAGTGATGAGATATACAGAAGATGTTATATATATGCAGAAATCAAGATTCAAACATAATTTTGATTGGTAAATAACAAGGTAAAACAAAATTATGGAGACTTAACTTACAATGCGAAGATAATATTAAAAATTATATTTTCAGAAACACCATGAAAGTGTTAATTGAACTGAACAGTTTAGAGGTGCTGTTCAATGGTGGATCTCTGTAACGATCACAAATTTTTGGGTCGCATAACAGTAGTAAATTTCAAGACAAGCTGAATAATTATTAACTTCCCAAGGAAGATACTGTAGCTCTATAAGTTCCACAAAACATATAAAACATTAGTCCATTGTCTCAAAAGATGATTGAAATTTAATCAAAATCAGTCGGCGCTGTTTCTAGAAAACTGACATTTCATGGTTGGGCCACTAGATAGAACACCATTGTTTTCCTGAAGATACTACTCATGCTCTTCAATGTACTGAGACTGTCTCCACAAACCAACTTCAATCAAAAACATTATGAAAATCGAAATCTTTTGTTGGGGGGCTCCTGTGAAGGGTTTCTACTTTTGGAGCTAGAAGGTTCACATTCAACAGGCACCAATCTATTAACAGATCAGCTCTCTTATACCCAAAATGAATTAAATGTATCCAATAGTTCCAGCACTAACCAAAGCAAACACACATAAAAAAATAAATACAGAGAGATGGGACTCCAAAAATCAATTTTCTTATTCAGGGATTTGAACAATTAAATCCTTCAAAATCTTGAGAGCGATCATACACATACACATGTGAGAACATAAAAACATAATACTCAATGTACGTCAATTTAAGTCAAGTTCAGTCATATGCAGCATAATGAATTTACCAGATGAGAGAGTCGCTTGATGACACATCCACAATTCATGAACCATTGCTTGCAGCTTCTGCACCTCGTGCTGTAAAGCCAAGAACTTTTCATCTTCAACTTCTTTTACAGGCGTGCTGCTTCTTACACTATTGTGGAAAAAACTGGGCACAAGTTGTGACTGCTGGTTGCTCACACTGTAATCATTCAGTAATGTCAAGATACACAGTCACACCTCCTATGAAACATGGTTTCTCACCCTCACATAACATAACATTATTTACAAGTGTATGAACTGGAACAAACTGGCTCACTATAAATTGCAGTCACGTGAACCAAACCTTTTCCAACCTGAAAATTTGTTAATAAAAAGAGGATGTCATTTGTACTATATTAACATTAATCATTATATCGATTACTTAGGTGGTTTTTGCACAAAGTACATAAAATGAATGTACAATGGTAAGATCATGTCTATTTACCCAACTGTTTCACCTCCAAAACTGCTGGATTCATCCTGGTGAAACTCTGTTTTGTGGGAGTGGGGAATTGGGGGTCTATTATGAACTCAGGGAATGAATTTAATTTTGATGCGTGTTGTTCCAACATAACCCCTACTTTACAACAAGATCAAACCAAACAATATAAATTTTCCTAGAAACAACACACAATAAAAAGTACTGGCACATATCATGTAATATAATTATCATTAAGACCTGCAATTATTATATGAAACACCATTGCATACAACATATATTTAATGACCTCCAAGAGCAAATAATTTCTGATCTGATGCAATGTGACATCTGTGGGTAATATGCTTAGCTTTGTAACAATAAATTTGTATCTACAATAAACATCGAAGCAAGTCAGCTATACGAAGAATGTATTTGAAAAGCATGATTACATCTCATCATATTAATGAAGCATGGAAATTACAGGGGACAGCTATCTTCGTCACAATATTACGTTACCCACAGCTTCTGACATAGCCAGAATCATCTTCCTGAAAGCGATCATGAATGTAGAAATCCCCTGTGCCAACTTCAGACTGTTGAAATTTTGGGGTCAGGTAAAATTGTGGCAGTGATTTCATCGGAATGAGTGATCCAATATGCCGAATCAGACTTCTGCTTCTTCCATATGGCTTTCTCTTTCTGCCACTTAAAATCCTCTGAAAACAGAATTAACCATTTACTCACTATGCATATCAGCAGTACTTGATACCATAAATATGGTCTGAATTGTGAAGATCAATGCAGTTATGGAATTTTTGGGAGAACATACCAAATTTTTGGGAATGTCGTTAGACAAAAAATTAAGCNTAAAACATATGCGCAAATACCTGAATGATCATTCCTTTCAGGTTAGGAATACAACTACTGCATAGGTCGCAAATAGAGTTAGTTACTGGAATAAATGAAATATTATGATACAACTAATCGGCGTCAATCTATACAATGCGGACACATTCAATATAAATATATATATATTTATAAAGAATCAAATGCACTTTTGGTAAAGCTCATTCATGAACAACATACCAATCATAGGTTAAATATACTTCTATTACTCTCCTTCCGTAAATCATTAAACTAATTTGTATAACTACTTTGTTTCACACTGTAACCATGCATTTCATGACGCCTCACGTAGTCTGCTAGTTCTGTTACGTAAATTATAAAATAACTGCGACTTGCCATGAAGTATGTAAAGACGGCTAATAATCCGCTGAAGAAAATTGTCACATTCGCGTTTCCTCCATTATTATCCTTTTCGGATAACGCAGGAGTCATGCAAGAAATCACACACAATTCCATTCGTTCCTTCGTTCTTCCCATTACTTCGGGACACTCAACTGTAAAGAAAATAACCTATACGTACTGATCGGTAGTGTTTATCAGCCAATTCGCACAAGACCGCTGAAACTAACACGCACAACCAACCGCGTCAATAAAAATGACAGTCTTTAGTTCTACACCACATGGACAATAACAGAAGAACAAAGGGAAATGAAATTGAAATGTTTTCCGCAGTTAAAAATACTGGCATCTGAATGGCGAACCCTCCTTCGCTAGCGTTCCATAACGTTCCATAATTTACTGCATATTTATCAAGGCTTGCCTGCATTGTAAACGTAAACGACCGGAGACGAGTGCAAATGAACACTTCCTGTGTCGAGTATGCTATATATAGCGCCATCAAGTAGACATAAAGCTGAGCTAGCCTAATTGTATCGATCGATCTCAAAATAATACACTTTTTCGAGGTGTCGAAATGATGATAAGAAAGGCACACATTGAATATTGAAGTTTAGGGGTTTCATAATCAAGAATCATGATAAATGAGCTGGTAAATGACTATCTGGAGTACTTTAAAGTTGATCTGACAAAACAGGTACTGTTACAATTATTTGGTTAATTATCGTACACTTTTATTGTTTCATACATTATCACACTGCTGACAATGCTTCGACTTAAAATATTAATAGCGAAGGTAGATTGTGACGTACAGTAAGCGTAAGGTCTGCCAATATAGCTGTTAACATTTACCTTAATATAAAGATAGATTTAAAGATGCAAGTTGAATTAAAAAAATGGAGCTATATCTCCACATTCCCATTCGTCATGGTATGGCTTTCAGTTAAGCATGGGTACTTTACTGTAGTTTTACATGCAATGAATTAGGCATGTACCAATTTCAAGAGAATATTTCTATGTGTAGATTGAATGTTTCCCTATCAGTCTTCTCATCATATCTGCAATGTTTACATGAATTAAACATGGTGAAATTGACATTTGTTGAGGGCGCAGTGGCTATAAGAACGTTTCCCAAAGAATAAATGTTACATACAATGCATACAGTTTAGTTTTAACCTGAATTCTACATGTAAATGACTTGCCAAAGGTACAAGAACGCACCCCTTCTGCCTTAAATATATTTTACTGTAAATATTAATTTTGCCAACACATCTTAATCTCAGCTATGAGAATATATAATGTGTATGTTAGGTTTTCTACTTGTATTTCATTGCAATTACTGCTTTCTTTCAAAAGAAACCAAATTTGGGATGTGAGGCTGTGTAAATGGGTATCAGCATTTTGAAAAAAGAAGTGTCTCCATGTTCAAGATAAAAAAGGTAAAGTTTTGTCCCTGTGCTTAACTAATTAAGCACTATAACATGAAGACATATTGATTGATTGATTGATTTATTTCGTCACTGTAGATCATTGTACATGATATATGACAAGTCAAGTTAATTCTGAATATTAACAATTTGATATATAAGTAGATTAAAATTACAATAGTTACAATTTTTTACATTCTTATTTGTGGAGAATTTGATGGAATGAACATTGGCAGGGGAAACCGAAGTACTCGGAGGAAGCCTGCCCCAGCGCCATTTTGTCCATCACAAATCCCACTTGCTCAGATCACAGTGGTGGGAAGCCAGCGACTAATCGCTTAAGCTATGGCGTGGCCTTCAGGAATGATGTATAGATCCACACATTCTTGACCTTAGCACTAGTTACAGGTGAGCAGTTAGCTTCACACACCAGCCACTTTTCCCCTGGTTACCCATCAGATAGGATGGACCCCAGAACCTGTCTGGATGTGAAGAAAAATCTTGTCACTACCAGGACTTGAACTCTGACCTCTCAGCCATCCAGCCGATAGCTAGTTGCTTTATTGACTGAGCTATCCCAGCTCCCCATGATCAAGATAAATTAGCAAATGATGTGAAAGGAGAGATGTAACCTGATGTGGGGCTCCATCTGAGCATTTGTCCACAGGAACCATGTAATCATCCTCAGTGAAGATAGTTGGGTGTTCTGTCCAAGATTTGAACCAGGCACTTTCTTAGTGTGCTTAAGCCATACTGTTAAATTGCAAGTAAAAATGTATACCCATGAAAGTGGAGCATTCAGCATTCTCTGCATTGAATGTTAACAATATTTAAATTCTTGATGTAAAACCACTCATATTTTTCAGCTTGCACCTGTGGAAGAAACTATAGATGACATGTTGACCCGTTTAGAAGAGTTTGAGAGCCTAATGGAGATGGTAAGTCTTTCATCTCAGCACAAGAATTCAACTTTATTATAAAGCACATCAGTATAAGTGATCAGTTGGAGGCTTTCAAGGCAGTGACTTATGAAGATTACTGTTGTCTGGGATGTGACACTGTGTCGTTTCATAGATAAACACAAACGTTTTAGAGGAATCTGCTGCCTCCATCCTCAGGTTAGTCTCTTCTACCCTGAAGAGGGAGGCAACAGAGTCCTCCAGAACGTTAGTACCTCTCTCAAACTACATGGTGTCATGTCCCACAATACATCTTAACAAAACTTACTGACTCTGGGCTGTGGATCATCTACTGTTAATTTCCTTTGCATGAGCAGATTTAATTTTCAAAAGGATGCAGCCATGGCCTAATATGAGGTACTACCTTTGTCTCAAAGAACCAAGGAAAACGGCAAACGTATTCAGTTGCGACAGTTGGCATCCCATTTGAGATTCAGACTGGGCACTTTCCAAATACTTGCTTGTTGTATCAGCAGGTTTTAATTTGAAAAATATGAACATGCACATGTATATAAGAACATAAAAATACATTTGGAAAATGTGCAGTTCCAATACTCATGTACATTCTGTACGATTACAGGTGCAAACCAACGGGCTGCACAGTCTAGATGGATCCGTGCCAAACATACTACTGTACAAAGATAGACTTAGAGCTCTGTGCAACCGGGTGGACAGACTTGAAACGTTTCTAAATCGAGTAAAACACGATCTTGATGTGGTCGAGTCACATATGGATGCTGCTGAAGCTGATGTTGGCAACACCAATGGAAAATTTAAGAATATCTTGAAGCCACTGTTTTTTGTGAGTTTAGTAGGTGTCAGTTACAAATGTACATGACTCTTAGTGTCAGTAGTGAATTATAAATAACTAAAAGCCACTAATTTAACTTTAGTTTTGCAGTGTGGAAATATGAAAGTGGGTATAGAGATGCTTATACAATTTTTCTAATGTAGAAATACAACTTACAAGAATCTATATTAACATAAATGACACACAAAAAATATTTGTAATATGCACTGATCAGCCTATATGGATGTAACCACATATAAACCATGCTCATTACAAATTCCATTAATTTTCCTTATTTATTTATTTTATTACAGAAGAAGCCAGATAAGGCTGTCAGATCTCCAGTCTATGAAGCTCCAGAGATTTTCAGAACTTCAGACTTCTTTCTTCCAGATGAAAGTACATCAGATTCTTAAATACTGAACTGTGTTCCTTCTGTACTAATTAATGTTTTGTACAGTGAAATTATTTTGGTCTTCATGAGTGTATAATTGTTAATTGCTATAATTTCTCTGTTGAACACAGTGAAATGTTCCTGAAAATTAATAAATTTCAATGAAAAGCATGTAATCACCCAAATCATTTACTGAACAACACACATGCATAGTTACCTTATCATAAGGAATGTTGATATAATACACTTGGGCTCTTACCCTAAGGGAAGAACACAGAACTGAGAACATCTGAACTCAACATAAAGGACAGGAGGACAGAGAAAAATTTATGAGGAGCTTCATAATTTGTACTTTTCCACAAATATCATTCAGATGAGATGGGTGAGATCAGTGAGAAGTACATGCTGAAGATGGGTGAAAAATTGGGAGAGAAGACACCACTTAGAACTAGGTGTAGATGTGAGGCTAATATTTATCTTTATTTTATTTTTGTCACTTATTTAATGAAGCTTTCAGTGTTGAGGCTGTACAGTGCCAGATGGAGAATTACTGAGGGAGTGGGCATGGCCTAAACAGGACACACTCCTAGCATATATCTGGGGGAACAGCCAAATCTTGGAAAACCTTAGTCAGGACAACTGGTGTCTTGGTTGAGATTGAAACCAAGCCCTCCCAAATACAAAGCTTTACCTCTAGACCAATCTGTTCACTAATGATAGTAATATGCAGATTTTAGAAAAAGGATATGAAGAGGTGGACCGGATGGATCTGGTTCTGTATAAGATACAGTGGTGGTTTTCTTTTGTGAGTGTGGCAATAAACTTGTGTTGCCCAACCACATTAACTATTATTTGATCAAAGAGTTCAGTTATGTTAATGTATTATTAAGAGAGTATTTTAATTAATTTAAATACATTGCTCCTCTCACCTCACAGAAGTAAAATTAATCTGTACTGGGCTTCACTGAACTCTTTAACGTCTTGCAGATACAGCAAATATGAATCTAGTAGTAGCATATATGTCAGTGGAAAACTTCTGCTTTCAAAGTATATCAACAGAACCCCCATCCCAAAACTGAAGGCAGCAAGTACATAAAAAAAAGACAAAGAGAATTCACATTTAAACGTTTTATGATATGAACAAGATATGTCACTTAGAAATGCTGAAATTACTTCATATGGACTATTGGTAGTAATTTCAAGAATTGGTAGTCAATACATTTTTGATTCATATATAATTTTCTTGAGGCAGGAAGTGATTATATAACAGTTGAAGATTAAAATAAATGCAGAAAATTACCATAAAGTTCATGACATCAGAAAATCTTTGCTGTGAGACTGCAAGTAATTTTTCAAGTTGCATACTTACTCTGAAACATAAATTTGGCACACTGGGACTCTTCTATAACAGAAGGGAAGTTAAACTGTTCGGGAATAGGGTTGCTTCCTTAGAAATCTCTCTCACTATGTGGGAAGTTGCCTGTCAGCTCATTAGTGTTCAGTATAATGATTAAGTATTAACCCTGTATATATCTGTAATGATATTTTTCCGTATCTAAAAAGTTTATCCACCTAGGTGTTTTAAATAGTTCTACACTTGAGAACAACAATGAAGGGTGATACTACAGTACTAGGTTCCATTCACTACAGTTCCTCCCGAACCATACAGTTTATCCCAAGCTACATAGCTGTCTAAGTCATCTGGTGATACACTTGCTCGAACTCTGGTTAGTGCAGATTTGAAATCATCGACTGTAACCGGACGAACTTGATCAGGACTTATATTCTTAATGTTAATGAAACCAAGTGAACGAATGGGTCCCAGAGATGCCTCTTGACATAAATTTTTCATGTCTGCACCAGAATATCCAGCTGTCAGCATCGATATCTCATTCACTTCCGGCTCTGTCAAGCAGTGATTCTCGTTGGACATCAGGCGTTCAACTATCTGACGACGGGCCTGAAAGAGGGAAGAAAAAAAAAGATGGTTTCTTAGTTTATTTAATGATGCTTTCCTAACTGAACATTTATAATACTACAGAATGGAAGCATGCAGGAGACAGAGAGTGGCTAACAAGATATCAGGAACAAATAATTATACAAAATATTATGCATAACAGGAAATAGTATATGAAGACTCAGAGTTGAAAAATATTGTAGGCTCAAGTAGAATCTGAATTACCACACCTCAAGTTCAGGTAGAGGAATATAAAGCTTTTTGACCAATCGTCGTCTAGCAGCTTCATCTAGCTCTTGAGGTCTATTAGTGGCCCCAATCACCAAAATTCGGTCCTCTTCACCTGTTGCTGCTCCATCCTGAACACATTAATCACATCAATTGCACTGAGTGATGAACCATACTCCACTTTTGCATAAACCATCTTCTTGTAGGTGGAGTTCAAACATTGCACATAAATTTCATACCTGTATATTGCTTTGTACAGTTCTCCTTTGGGCACCTATCTAACGGCAAACTAACAAATTAGCTAGCAGCTAATATAATGTTCAACTAACCACAGCTATACTGGATTTCTGGTTCTCACAGCAGTTGCTAAGAACAGTACCATCTTCCAGCATGCAATGCCTATAGTCTGGTAGAAGTTTACTGATATTTCAGGGAATGTACAGCCCTTGTCTTCATGGCTGAAGAACAAGCCAAGGAAGCAGCAAGTTTCTACCCCACAAAACACTGGTACCCACCTACCAAACTACATGGCATTATATCCCAGAAGACTGTAATCTCAGTTCTCACCACAATACTTCATACCCCACACAGCTAAGTTTCAAGACACCTTTGTGTTCAGTCCGTACATGAAAAGCAGTTTGTTAAGTAAATGTTTACGGTGACTCACCAATTGTACTAGGAATTCAGTTTTGATGCGCCGAGAGCTTTCATGTTCAGTGTCACTCCTCTGGGTTAGTAATGAATCTATTTCGTCTATGAAGACTACAGCTGGCTGATGACATCTGTGTTGTGAGCAAGATAGAAAATTCTGTATAATGAATGAAACCAAAAAAAAAAAAAAATATATATATATATATTTATACATATAAATATGTTCTACGTGTAGTTTGATTCAAATTTGCAAAGTTCATATTTTTTTGCCATTTCAAACATTATTTTTTTGTGCCATCTGATATATGCTCAGATTATGGAACTCCATTCCATTCACTGTAAATACAACTCAGGCATTAATTTATGTTCGGATAGGATCAGCGTTTTTCTTAAAAGTAAAACTCTTGTAGTGTTATAAGTCCTTTATACATGTGCTACAAAAAATATACAACCGAGTTACCTCGCAACTGCAAATAAAGCACGAACCATCTTCTCGCCATCTCCAATCCACTTGGAGGTTAGAGAAGAAGCACTTATACTGAAGAATGTTGAATGGGACTGAGATGCAATGCACTTCCCAATTAGAGTTTTTCCTGTGCCAGGAGGCCCAAATAACAAGATACCTTTTGGAGGACGTCGTAAACCAGTGAAAATATCAGGTCTCAATAATGGCCATACAACAACTTCCTGAAAATAAAACATATAATAATGAGTAGGGCCCGCATTTCTATGACATGTCATATTTTTTTCCCTAGGGTTTATTCCTATTTTTACTTGTAATTATGCATGTTTCCAGTCATTCTTATTGAAATTATGTCGTTTTTATTGTGCATATAAATGCATATTTTAGAGTTTTATTGGTTTTAAGGCATATTTTGGCATAATTTTGAAATAAGGTCATATTTTTGTCATTTTAGAAACAATTCTTTAATATAATGTAAAATTTCGGCTCCATAATGTTTAGTATTACAAAATAAATTTCAGGCTGGACTGTTGTTTCAATGTGGAACAGAGTTCAAGTACATGAAGTTCGTATTAAAAACCATATTTTTGACTGGACTGTACTTGCAGTTACAAAGGCGAAAATTTGTGAAATGCAGCATTTATGACCTGGCAAGCCGGCCTTTCCCAGTCGAGGCAGGAGGGAGGCAAGTGTAACGGGTATTCTCCTATTGTACTCCGTCTTACTATAAGGTATATACATCCCATTCTTTCTTGGAGGGCTTAGAAGTATTCTATTTATATATGTGGAGGGCGTTATAAGACTTCAGTTTGACTTTACAATGCCTAAAGTGAGTACATGTAGTTCAAGGAGCGCAAAGTTGCGTAGTTTTGTACAGGAGTTTGATGAAAAAGTGTTTAGTGCCGATGGCAAGATATTTTATAAGTTGCGTGGCGTGAAAGTTACAGCAGAAAAGCGATTTACTGTGCAGCAGCATTGTAAAACTTTTAAACATGGTAAATGTTTAAGCAGATTATCTACAAAGGATAGCAGACAAAGTTTGTTGTTTAAAAACAGTTCCACTAATTCTTCTTCTTCTTCTTCTCCTTCACCTTCTTCAACGAACAATGGGTCGGAATTTTCGAAGGATTTGTGTCAGTGGATGGTATCTTCGAATATTCCATTAGAGAAATTGCATAATCAGCACTTCAGACAATTTTTGGAGACATACACTAGTCATCCTATCCCAAGTGAATCGACGTTAAGAAAGAATTATCTCTCTACATGTTATGAAGATATGTTAAATAAGATTCGAACATCTGTTGCTGACAACAAGATATGGGTTTCCTTGGACGAGACTTCTGACGTAGATGGGCGGTATATTGCGAATGTTATAGTTGGGACCCTGAAACAAGATCAACCTGGAGAGAGATTTCTTCTTGACTGTGAAGTTCTCGAAAGAGCAAATCATTCGACTATAGCTGTCCTATTTGATAATTCCATGAAGTTGTTGTGGCCAAATGGAATACAGCGAAATAATATCCTTCTCCTAGTAACAGATGCCGCTCCATACATGAAGAAGGCTGCCAAAGGACTTCGAATCCTCTACCCAAAAACGGTCCATATTACTTGCCTCGCTCATGCATTGCATAGAGTGGCTGAAGAAGTTCGAGGACATTTTCCTGATGTAGATAGGCTAGTTTCAAATGGAAAGAAAATATTCATCAAGGCCCCTCTTCAAGTGCAGAAATTTAAACAAGAAGCTCCTCTACTGCCACTTCCTCCACAGCCTGTCGTCACACTGTGGGGTACATGGTTGGATGCTGTGGCATATTATTGTGAAAATTACACAGCCATTGAGAAAATGTTTAACCGCTCAGCGCGGTTTGACGTGTATGTTTTGTCAAGGTATTTAAATTGTCTGCGGGGGTTCGACGTCTATGTATCGTCCAGCTGCACACCTATGTTATAACGCCCATAATAATTGATGGTTTTGCTGTAGACTGTTACATTTTTTGCTGGCCTGTTGTCAGAAGAACAATATATAATGAAAAATGAGTTTAGCTGCGTTAAGTCATCGTTACATATGCCTGTCTTGCAGCAAAATCGTGTTGCTTCTGGTAGAGGTTTCCTCATTCAAACTGTTATGAATGGCGTGTTTTCTTTCCTATGAAGTTATAAACAGCAGAGATGTGATATGTGCTGTGTTTATAATATCATATTGCCCTGAGCTGGTTAATGGTTTTGACAGCAGTGAGTCAACATCAATTAACCCTTCCGCGTGGTCATTTAAATTCCGCGGCCGTCTCTCCGGCGGTAATATATTCAGCCGTCCATTTAAATTTTGCTCAAAAATGATTTATTCATCATTGTTCTTAAATTATATGAGATAGGAACATGAAACTTTCACTAAAATGATCTTAAAAGGTGGTTTTATAACCTTACCTTATAATATGAGCGCCCTGTATCTCGGCAATGGAAACAGGTTGTTTAGTATTTGAGCAGTGAATGGTACGCCTTGAAGGATGAAACTTTCACTAAAATGATCTTAAAAGATGGTTTTATAACCTTGCCTTATAATATGA